ATATATATATATATATATATATATATATATATATATTTGTAAAAAAGGAAAGAGTTTTCTGATATTCTTTAGAATTATTTGATTTTTTTACATCCGCAATCAACAAATTGTTAATAATGGAATGATTCTATAATAATTAGGACGAGTCTAGTAGGAAGATATTGAAAACTTCATTTGAGCAAAACTTTGGAGAAAGCAAAACTTCTTAAAAGAGGAAGATATGCAATCATGATTGGGATTTGTGACATATATTTTTAGAAAGCGTTCATTCACCTACCCTACTAGACCAAAATAGCAAAGATCCTGAAGAAAGAAAAAGTTAAGGCCTGAGAGTGAAAGGGTAGACTTTAGGATAATGACGAAGAATATTCATTGGAACCTTCATGTAACAACATCACTGCAAATTTTTTGTCTTCTATGTCTATAAATGATATCAGACAATATTAATAATTCTAATAAATTTGCATTTCAGTCTTTAAGTTGGTAAAACAGTAAGGTATTTAGATAGTTTGTACGAGATTATAGTTCAAATTTCATTCTCATACATTTAAAAAAATGTATTATATATATATACTAATATTAACTTAGTACTTTTTAAGAAATTACTTATTTTAGAAATAAAGTAATAATTTTTTTTCAATTAAATATAAAAAAATTATGTTGAGATACATATTAAAGAAATTGTCATTTAAATGCATTTTTCTATATCATATTATCAACTTATAATAAACAAATGACAATATAAAATAAACTCTCATTTGTTTTTTCTGATATAAAAGAATTAAAAGTAGTAACTAATTTTACCAAACACTTTATCAACTACTTTTATTAAACTTCTAATTTAATAATATAACTTTGACAATTTTCAATTAGTTAGAAAATTATTTTTCAATTTTTAATTAACTTTTCAACTAGTTCTTTGAAATATAACATATATTCTATTCTTAATAGACTTGGTATATTTATTAATAATTTTTAATATAATAATTAAATCGTTGAAATTTTATGTAAAGCACAAGTTAGTGAATGAAATACCTCTATTAAAAACTATTCTTGAATTAAATAATATGAATGAGTAACTAAGATATTCTTTTATAATCGGTAAGTCAACATGCATTTGAGAGATGTCCTTTGCAATCCTTATTTCGTTTAGTCTAGTACAAAAATCAGCTGGCGGTTTCAGTTGCCGAACACTTAAGTATAACAGAAAGAAACCAATGGAACATGGTTCATCTATTTCAGTTATCACCAAAATAATACTGTATGGATGAGCCACAAGGAATAAAGGATGCGGCTCCTACACAAGAACCTTTTGTTTGTCTTTGGTGAACCCTGACTGAGAATTCAGAGGAAATAACATTCTTATTTATTGGAAACACAAACTCATCTCAATCACCCACAGTTTATGTGATGAAGTTCTTAAAATTTCTTCACTTACCTATGATACCGTATCAATCAGACCCTTAGTACTAGACTGGGATGTGCAAAAAAATCCAAATGGAACCGATCTAAATCCAGATAATAAAAATCAATCTGTTTTGAGGGGAAAAAAAAAACTAAACCAATCTGTTTTATAAAAATAATTTGATTAACCAAGTGGATTGATTCGGTTTAATTTGATTTCATTAAAAAATCAAACCATGAGTATATAGTGAATAAGCAAATTACACCGAACCAATCCAAATTAAAATAAAAAAGATCTATTTTTAGAAAATTCAAACTAAATCACTTTATAAAAACCGGTTTAGTTAATTGAACCATTTTTATAAAATAGATCCCTTCGGTTCAGTTTGGATTTTTGAAACATCTGATCTATGAACAACCCTAATCCTCGATTCAATTAATGGTAATTCTTCCTCATTCGAACCATTTTCTTCAGTTACCTTTGATTCCTGATCAACAGTAGGTCCATAAGCCCAGCTGCATACTAGATAATACAGTATATTAACAACACTGAGTGTGGCAAGAAGCCAATAGTACTTGTCAAAACGACCCTTGTTAATGTTATCTGAAACCCATCCATCTTTTCCCCCTCTTGAACTAACCTTTTCCACAAAACTGAATACCAAAGAAGACAACACATACCCAAATGCCATTCCCAGTCCAAAAAGGGAAGAAGCAATGCTTGACATAGTCTTTGGAAACTCGGTATAATAGAACTCATTTTGGCCTATTGCATTGAATGCTTCAGCTATGCCACCCAAGCAAAGCTGAGGAAAAAGCCACATTGCAGACATATTCAACACAGCATGTGTGTCATTAATATGGCCCTCACTAATTGCTCTCCTTCGCCTTGTAGTCTCAACAATTGCTGCAGTTACCAAGTGGAGAAAAGAGAAAAACAACCCAAGTCCCATTCTTCTCTTGGCACTGATCCTAACTGGTTTGCCTCTGAGCTTTGAGGCTAGAGGAATAATGACACGGTCATAAAGAGCTATCCATATAAATATTGTAAATATCATGATCACACTTAAAGAACCTGCTGGAACTTCGAAATTTGGAGTAATATGTCTGTTAAGGGATTTAGCTTGAAGCAATCCAAAGGAGCCTCCAATGTTAAGAAACATCATGATCCCTGTAGACCACAGGGGAATAACTTTAACAATAGCTTTTAGTTCTTCTACTTGATCAACTGTGCAGAGACTCCATGGATTTGAGGCTGAACCATCAGAGGCTATCTCCTTTTCTGGGTCCTTAATGAAGCAAGCTTTATTCAGAAACCTAGAAAACACAACATCACCAGAAGTTCAGCATTATTTCATCCCATGAGTAAGCAAAAGATAAAAATGAGTCAATGATGGATGGTAGTGTTGATATGTTTTCAACCTTAGTTTATCATTTGGAACAACTAGATCAGAGTCTTTGTTATGATGATACATTCCATCCGAGATCTTATGTGGTAATGTAAGTTTCCTGTTCTTATAGGCTACAACAATCACACGAGCAAATCCAGTGAGCAAGCTGCTGTGTGTTTTATTCTTTACATAAAGCGGAGAAGCCAGAAGGAAGAAAAAAGTGGAAAAGAACATAAGAGCTGCAGGAACTCCAAAACCCAATTTCCATCCAAGATGATCTTGAATATATACTATTCCGGTGAAGGCAATTATGACTGATATGGCAGAGGAAGCATAGTACCAGCTGAAGAATATCTCCAAGGTCCTTTGATTATTGGGGTTATCTTTCCTATTCACCTGGTCTGCACCAAATGCCAGGGAACATGAAAGGCCACCATTTCCAATGGACATGAGAGCAAGGGAAGAGATTAACATTGCCATTTGCCCAGCTGTTGCTGATTCACATCTTTCAGTTTCAGAATTGCAAGGAGGAGGCCGTGCCTGTGGGATCATGGCTGTTAGCCACAAGAGTGCCATTCCCTGTTACGAACAAGTTGAGTTTTTTTTTAAAAAAAAATACAGAATTATTCTGAGATCAAAACAATTAATGGCTAATTTGAATGCTTGTAACCCAATGGACTGACTATTTTTCCCCAAAATAGAAAAGCACATTAAAAATGTTCGAGAAAATTACATCAACATCCTCAGAAGTTTCGTGATATTACACATAACACCTCTACTTTTTTAACGATTATGGTGACATTCATAATAGGGGAGACGTTGCAATGTTTTTCAAACAATGTAGAGGGTTAATATAATATTTAAGGAGTATCAGTGTAATATTTTTCAAACAATTAAGTAGGGTTAGTGTAGGGATAGAAAAATCAAGGAGTTTATCTGCAATCTCATTAAATCTCATGGTGTTAGTGTAACTTACTCAAAATGTTAAGGTTAAATTACTCCCTCAGTTCCTATAGTTATCTTTAGATCCTAATTCCCACCACGAGAAAATTGTAAGTTTTAGTCTTTATTAATATATAAAATTTAATTTTTGGTCTCTACCCTTAACACTAAGAAAACTTTTTGACAGCACAACGACTTTATAACAGTGATAAACTATTACAAAAAAAAAACTTTGTAAAAACTAAAACTTGCAATTTAGGGAATAAATGGGCTATTACACCTACCAGGAAAGTGATGAAGGAACCTAAAGCAACAGCAAGGAAGCGACCCAAATAAGAATCAGCAATGAAGGCACCAGGGAGAGGCATGAAATTGGTAGTTGCAACAGATAAGAGCAGTATCTTGGTAGCTTTGGGTAGATGAAGATTGTAGTTCCCCATCAAGTACAGTATCATATTGGGCAGAAGCCCCAAAGTTGCCACCCTAGCAAGTGCTTCATTTGCTGTTCATTCACAAAAAGTCAACACCCCAAACAAAGTTAAATAAAAGAGGAAGTGATTTTGAGGGAGGCAAAGAAACCTATGATGAAAGGCATGGTAAGGAGGCCACCCTTAGCACAGCTTTGGGGATGAGAAGTAATGTGGGAAGCCATTTTGGGTTGAAGTGGACAAAGCTCTACCTCCCTCTCCATTGATCAGCTACTGTTACTGCCTTCTTCTACCTTTCTCCTAATGCTACTAGAAACACATTGATTGTATAAATCAAATTATACACGTCTCATTCTGAATCTGAACCCTCTGCTTCTCCCATTATTAAATAAAATATATCACAGGCTTTCAATTATAGTATTGTTTTGTCGCAAATGCTTTCCATTTTTTTTTTTTTAAAGTCGATCTCAATAATTTTATAAGAAAAAGTGTGAGATGTAGTAAATGATGTAATGTTGATAAGTATAAGAAAAATGTATAAAGTTAATTCCAAGGTAAAAAGTCACGCGTCTCATTTATATACTTATCATTATATATATTATTAAAATAAAATCAACAGCTATGATATATAAAAGTTTCTCACTTTTATGTGTAGTTTCTCACTTTAAAATTTAATGTTATATTAGATATGATACACACAATACAATAATATTAAAAAAAATTAATATGTATTTATAAAATATTTCGTTGTTTAAGTATTATTTTAACACATCTCATATAAATTCATTGTTATATCATATCCCATATGAGATATTATATTTTTTTTTCACTTTTAATTCGATTAACGTATTTTTAAAAGTAAAATTAATTCTACTCAAATGAACTAAATAAAATTCCATTAGCAGCCACCAACCATCTACTCAAGCTATAAGCTGCAACTTGTCATAAAATCACCTTGTTCTTCTATAAAAGCAATTTAAAATCAACTATTTTTTATATATCTTGAGGAGATTAGTATGGTGAGAAAAAAAAAAAAAAAGTTTCACATCATTTTCAATTTGAAAAATACCGATTATACTCTTTAACATATTTTATTACAGACTAAAATTTATTAAAAATTATATAAAATCATTAATGAAACTCATTTTACAGAGCATGTAGCAATAAGACCAAGTAATGCTGTATCACATAGGTTCACTTCATGTTACAGTTTAACATGCCAAAGAGACCAACCAACACCTTTGAGTTGCAAGGTCATAGATCAAGCTTTGAATTCGCTCCATTCTTGTAATATTGGGGTCGCAACTCCAATATTTTTCATGTCAATCAGATTGGCTGAAATCATCGAAAATGTTGGTCATCATGTAAAAAATTGTCTTCACAAATTTCAATAGCATATCCTCCACTCCTCGAACATGAACACTTGTATGATACTATATTTCTCTCATAGAAAATAACGAATTGACATTGAAAAAAAAAAATCATATAAAGTTCATGGCAATTGCAAGGCTTCTAAGAAATTGAAAAATGCATATATTATGTATACCTTGATGAACATGAGGTGTGGCTGCTGCTGTAGCATCAACAATAACAGTAACAGATTGATAGTCCAATGCGACAGCATCAAAGACAGTTTGCCTGACACAGTTTGGAGTTTTTATTCATAAATGAATATTAATTTATTGTATTTTTTATTTATTATATATTTATTAATATAGATATAATAATAATAATAATAATAAAAAGCATGGCGTTTCAAAACGGCCCGTTCTAAAACCAGAACGGCCCGTTCTAAAATCAGAACGGTCCGTTCTAAAATCAGAACGGGCCGTTCTGGTTTCAGGTTTTTTTCAAGAATTTTGGCATCCACGTGGCATCCACGTAGCATCCACGTGGCCAATAGTTAACTCCATCTAAATCATTTGGACGGAAGTCCCAAATTGCACTAATTTAAGTTATTAGGAACCAAATTAAGACAAAAAATTAAAGTAGAACTAAATTAAAACAAAAAAATATTGTAAGGAACCAAAAGAGGTATTTAACCTTTATTATATATAGTTAATAATATCCAAGTTCAATTTGATTAGTCCGTTTGTTTAACAAAGTATGATGCTTGCTGCCCCTAAATTGTACATATCATAATGTTCAGCGATTTTTTTGTAAAAAAAGTAAAATTAATTCTATGGCGATTAATTAAAATTAAAATTAAAATTAATTTCGAAAGGACTAAAAAACTTAACTTAGAAAATAAATATAATTAATTTTAGTGTTCGGAGCCTCCTAAATATTTAAAATATATTTATATTTGTTTTTTAAAATTACTATATATTGATAATTAATGTTATGAAAGACACTTTAAATATGTGGCTTAAGAATATATTTAATATTTTCACATAACTATAGGAGCATATTTCTTGTAAATTTACTACGTTTTACATGTTCCAATACGATTCACGCATATCATAGATTTACAGATTATGATTTAGGCATATTTCAAGTGTCATGTATAGAAGCCAAAAATACATTTTTAGCTAATATTATTTATTGTTCACCATCCAATTTCAACCGATACCACACCAGATCAAGATTAGACCAAGACCCAATATTATGATTGCCACGTCACCACATTCACCCACAACTTTTTGAGACCTTTAGAACGATAAAAAAAAATAAAAAAAATAACGTTCTATAAAGACAGTAATTAATAAATTGTTTTTAAACATTGAAGACAAATGCTTAAAAAAAAAAAAACAACAACAACAATAATGAAGACAAATGCTAAATCAATACAATTTTTAAAACTAATTTGAAGGTTTACTTTTGAAATATCTTCAAGAAACGCTCCTAATTCCTAAATTCCAAAGATGGCATTCTTCAAGAAACGCTACTAAAAAAACACTTGCGAACTACAGAACAATTTAGTGATGGCATCCTTTAATTTTATTATTATTATTATTAATTATTAATAAGGAGGTAATAACACTTCTCCATCCAATCAACCCCTAAGAGTAAAATAGTATATCTAATCGCAACTTGTTACTTAAGTTAGAGATCAAATTCGATTTTTGATTAAGAAACAATAAAATATAAATGTCAAACTACTTAAGTATTATGCTAAGGACATGATATATGTGACTCACCTGAATGTGTTGCATGGATGACCATAATTTTGAAGAATAAATTTGAGCTTAGTTTAGCTACCAGGACTTTTCAATTTTGGTGTACATTGGACAAAAAATTATGTTAATAGTGGACACAACACAACCAAGTGAAGTAAGTACACAAACAGCCATGCAAATCATTATATTATGTTGTGCAGCAACCAAGTAGTACAGTAGTATACGTAGGTTCGCTTCACTATACTGTTTAACCTGCGAAAGACATCAACACCTTTGAGTCTTGGAATTGAACACCGGAATGTGCAAAAAGTAGCATGGTTCATGTATTTCAAGCTTTGGGTTCGCTCCATTCTTGTAATGTTGGGGTTGCAACTCCAATATTTTTCATGTCAGACAAATTGGCTGGAAACCACCGAAATATTGGTCATAAAGCCATCAAATGAACTTACGATTACAATTTCAAAAAACAGAAGCAGTTTACCTGCTTTGGGCGTATCCGCAAAAAATTAATAAAACCTTTTGGTACATAAAATAGAAATGGATTTAAAGAAGTGTGGTATATGATGATAGCATTAAATATGTCCCCGAATCCCCGAGCAACCATGTTAACTTCATCTAGATTTATTTTGCAAAATCTTATATTTAACCTATGCATAAATTAATTTTAGCTTATACACAAACTTATTTTTTTTTGTATTTTCTTCATCTTTAAGCACTTATAGAGAAGTTTATCTAAACAAATCCTTAAGAATTTTTTTTTTATATGACAATATGTTCCTCTCATAGAAAATTGACATCTAAAAAAGTATTTTCATGAAAAATCCTCTCCAGAAATCAGACTGACTTGCTCAAAGGTATTGTTGCTACATTAGGGATTTGCAAAGTCAGATAGCTTCTTCATCTCTAATAATTGCACAACTTATAAAGTGATCAAGCTCTAGTACTTGCACGCCAAACTAACTAATTGCACAACTTGTGAAGAGACCAAACTCTAGTACTCATACGCCAAACTAACTAATAGCAAAACAACTTTACGTATATCAGAGTTCTATATCTCTCTGCAGAGTTCTTGGACATATGAGTGATTAATATAAGTGCAAATAATAGATACTATTCCTGAGACAACAACAACAAAATTTTTTAAAACAAAGACATTAAGATATTATCTACTTAAATATCTAATGCAGAGAAGGTCTTGTCTAAGAAGGTTATTCAAATAAAGTTCCTGATAATTGCAAGGCTTTTGAGAAATTGAAAAACACATACCAAGGTGAATGTCAGGTGTGGCAGCTGCGGTAGCATCAACAATAACAGTTACAGGTTGATAGTCCAATGCTACAGCATCATAGACAGTTTGCCTAATACAGTTAGGGGTTTGAACACCTACAGATTAAGCTATATGAAGTCAATACATAAATATAAAACAGTAGGAAAGTTCACATTATTACAACTATTACTCACCAGTGACAACCAGACTTTTAATTCCTGCTCCTTGAAGGACCGAATGAAGGTGTGTAGCGAAGAATGCACTAAACCTGGTCTTGACAAGTTTATAATCCCCTTCTTTAATTACCAAGCCATCCACTAGTTCTGCACCTTCACTTCCTTCAGATGTTGGACCAACTTTCCCCTCTGTATATAGATGCCGGCGAAAGAGCTCAACATCTCTTCCCAAGGGATCATGTTCCCGTACCACCTGGAAACATTTTAAGAGACAGAATTCAACAATTGTGGAACTATTTTCTTGAATGTCAACAGAGTGAGATGTTCAAGTGTTCGATGGACAAACTTTCAGAAAATAGAAATGCGTTCATGGAACAAAAGCCTTGAAATGTGCTCAGGGAACAAACAAATTTTAGAAAACTACATATTTTATAAACAAATAGCAATGCACATTTCAGAGTATGTACAAACAAAATCTAAAAATTGAGAACCCTGGGGAATTATGAAACTAAAAGAAACTTGGGCTATGTTTGGATAAAAGCTGGGAAAGTACTTTTACAAATTTCAATGCACAAAATGAAGAACATTTTGTTGCTTAGGGAGTAACCGTACTAATGGGCTTTCAGTGAGATGTTCAAGTGTTCGATGGACAAACTTTCAGAAAATAGAAATGCGTTCATGGAACAAAAGCCTTGAAATGTGCTCAGGGAACAAACAAATTTTAGAAAACTACATATTTTATAAACAAATAGCAATGCACATTTCAGAGTATGTACAAACAAAATCTAAAAATTGAGAACCCTGGGGAATTATGAAACTAAAAGAAACTTGGGCTATGTTTGGATAAAAGCTGGGAAAGTACTTTTACAAATTTCAATGCACAAAATGAAGAACATTTTGTTGCTTAGGGAGTAACCGTACTAATGGGCTTTCAAACATGCACTTAATAAATACATTTTTTATATTCTTTCCCTAGTTTGGAACAATACTTTTCCTAGCAACTTCACCATGCTCGGAGGCTCCCATCAAGCAAACAAGTAACTCATATCAAACTTTATTTAGTTTCATAGAAAGTAAATATCCATTTACATTTGAATCATTTCCTGAACATGAAAGATCATTGTGCATAGAGAAGGAATAGCAGAGAAAGAGTGTTATTACCCAAACTACGAGAATTCCACGCTGCCTGGCAACTTCCACAGCCTTAATCACATTTGGGACAATTTCTTTCCCTCCTTTTACTAGCATGGGACCCCCATCTTCTATAAAATCTTTCTGCAATATCACAAACCCAAAAATCCTTAATTTGTCCGAAAACATTGTGACAAGGAGGAGGAGCAACATTGGACAGTAAGGACCTGCATGTCGATCACGAGAAGGGCCGTGCGGTTCCAATCTGGCATTTCCAAAGGGTAAGTTCCAGCAAGCGCAGATTTTGAGCGCAGTGACAAGGGTTTGGGCCAATTGGGTCGGTGATTATGTACGGTGTTGGACCCACTGCACAAGAAGTTGAACACATGAACATGAACCCCAATTAAGTAGGGAGAGAAGGCAAAAATAAATGGAGATAAGAAAAAATTACCGAAAGCTAAAATCGGGGTTGAGAAATGGAGGGGGTGAAAGATTGAAGTGTGGTGGATTATGTGGCAATCTCACAAAAGTGGAACAACCTGCCATGTTCATAACTCATGCTTCTCTTTCTACTACCTGTATCTGCAAACGGATATCTTCAAACACTTCCATATATTTTCTCGGTGAAGGTGAAGCCCATGGATTGTTGTTTCACACTCTAAAATCTAAATTCATACTTATTTTAATTTAATTTTCACTTTTATTTTTAACCCTTTTTAATAAATAAAACTTATATATATGTATATATATATTACATGTATGATGTAACCTCCAGCAATCGTAATCAATCCCAACCAACAAATTTTTTATCCGAATATTTAATACAAATACACGTCACTTAAATTTGACCTCTATTAATTTTTTTTTATTTTTTATTTATTACTTTAATGGCAAAGGCATAATCAAGGATACACTACTAGAGTCATGACTAGAAGGATTTCGAAGGATTGGGTCAATGCTGTAAGTATCTTCTAAGTTTGACTATTTTGGACTTTGTATTATGGGTTTAGTAGTGTAAGATTTTGGATTTTATTTTCTTTTGGCCCTTGTAATTTGGACTAAGTAGTGTAATTTTTATTTGGTCATGTATTTGGACTACTAAATAGGATAGAAGCCCAGATAAAAATAGTCTTACATTTAAATGTAATTTAGGAGTCATTTAAAGTACATTTGATGTTTCATGTGACCCGTCAAGGGTGACACACATGACATGTACCAAATGCAACTTTAAATGCTGGCCTTTTAGTCGAAATAAAAAAATAAAATAAAAAATACACAAAACAAAAATAAAAAATAACTATTTATCATAATAGGTGGTTTTTGCCACGTAGGGGCCACGCTGGCACAGAAGGCGCATCTATCCATGCGCCGACAGCAGTGACTAATCTCCTCGCTACGTTGGAGGCACCTCAAAGGGTGGGATAGTTGGCCCCAAGATTTAACGCGGCTGCATACACAACACAGGATTCGAACCCCTGACTTTGCTTAAGCGTGGATCAACTCCTACCGCTGAACCACACGCATGATCGTAATTTAAATTTACTTGTTGATTAAGTTAATTTAAAATAGAATATTTATTGTCTATTTGTTTACCTGTATAGTTGCTGCAGTACATGTTTTCATGAAAGGAAAAGGTAGGATAAAAGGAAAAACATAGTACATGTAATTAGTTTGGTTTGGATGGTTATCTGTACACATTCTGAACATGATGGATAAAAAGAAAAATCTTTCTTTTTCCCTCCACATCTTTGCTCAACCATAAATCAAAACTAATCTTCCGTAGCTTCGAAATGGTTGTAAATATTTGATTTAAGTAATTTTTAAACCAAAAAATGTTATTTATACTATATAATATAATCTTTTATTTTTAACATTTTGAATTTATTTTTTAATATAAAAATCAATATTATTATTCATTCCAAATTAATATCAGTAACATTTAGGAATGACAAATAAATCTGAATTTTTGATAATGTTCAAATTCATTCTGACTTTGACAAGAAATATCTAATTTTATCGAGTGTAAATAAACGTAATATTTGACTTTTTTTAGAAACTTAATTTATTTTTTTAGAATTTATTTGATATTTATATAATTTATATTCTATTTTAAATTTATTTCAAATAAAACTTAATTAATGTACTTTTATAATTGTCACTTCACATTGAAAGTTTTTTTTTATAATATTTTTTGTAAAAAGTATTTAATTAATTGTTTAGTGATATAGGTATACTTGGTACTTGAAAAAGACGACAATGAGACACAAATTTATTTTCATGAGGTGTGGAGACAAAAATATGTGTAGAATATGAGAACAAAAATGAATACAAAGATATTGAAACTTGTACTCGTCACACTTTATTGTCATTCCTATTGATATTAATGATATTGAAAATAAAGAAATAATATTTAACATTCTTTTAAAATTAGAAATCCAAATTAAATAATTTAAAATAGAGGAGTCAAATTAAATTATGTAAATTTAAAGTACTAAATTGAATAATTTTTGATAAAATATTTTATTTCTATATATCTGTAACATATATTTATTTTTAAATTGTTTTAAATGTTTTTAATTACTGTAGCTTTTTTTTTTATTGGTTTTTGATTAATTTGATTGATTCTTACCGATTTTAAGATGAGTCAAATTTTTATAATTAAGTACTTTGAAGTAAAAAAAATTACAAAAAATAAAATGATTAAAAGAGAAAAGAATATCTAATAAAATAAAATATTAAGTAGGCAATTTATTTTAAAAAATCTCCGGATAACAAAAAATAAATAATTATTTAGATGAAAGAAATGGTAACAAATAAGAAATAAAATGACACTTTTGATTTTTTTTATATGTAAAATGGTTTTTCTATTTTAAAATTATTTAACTTGGTCTTTTAATTTAAAAAAATGTTGAATTTTTTCATTTCATCAACTTCACTAACGTGTTAATGTAAAAGAATATGACAATATTATTTTTTATAAATTAGAAAAATAAATTAAATATTTTAAAAATAGTAAAAGAAAATTGAATAATATATAAATGAAAAGAGGGGAACTATAATTTAACCTAAATTTTTATCAGTATGCCACCATGACATGCTAAATTCCACTCTGTCTTTTCTTCTGTGAGCCACCAAACTTGTTACCCCTGCGCATTTATTATAACTACCCTACGCATTTATTATAACTACACTTATTGTGACAAGTGAAGAAGGCGCATGGGGTACGTGCGCCATCTGCTGTGCATTAAACACACCCGTCCCCCCTGCGCATTTAATACAAAACTGATGCACAACAGAAGACGCAGGGGGTAGGTGCGCCTTCTGTGCCAGCGTGGCTCCTACGTGGCAAAAATCACCTATTCTGGTAAATAGTTATTTTTTATATTTTATTTCGTGTATTTTTTTTATTATTATTTTATTTCGGCTAAAAAGCCTCAAATGCTTCTCAAATTACATCTAAACACAAAATCCTCTTTTTCAAGATACAAGAGCACATGGTAGCACACGGGGAACATTGGTCCCATACCAAACTTGAATTCAAAAATCAATTTTAGCGCCTAGGATTCAAGTATAATCATTAAGGCCTCCTTTGTATGTAAAATCATTACTTTGGATCATATGTGAGAATCATATTTAGGTTTCTCTCTCAAAATATGGAAACAAGTAGCTTAGCGAATTTAGTCTCCTTAAGTTCTTTCAACAAGGAAACCTTCCTTGTGTGTTAGTGCATTTGTTATTCCTTTGTTAGGGAGACGTTGAGTGTGTTTCTTCCTCTTCTTTCATCAATCTCATTCAATCAAAAGTTTGGTGTCGTAACCAAGATCACGACGGGATGACGCTAACATTTATTTTTCAATGGAGTCGCCACCAATATTTTATTTTAAGGGAAAAACACTGAAAAACCCTTTAAAAGATGGTATTACCATCCTACAATGCCTGTAAAAATAGTACATTTAATTAATTGCGCAAAATTATATAAATTTATAAATATTTAATTTACTCCTTAGAAATGTGTATACATATATTTTTTTAAAAATGTGAGATGCCTTTTTTTTATATTTTTTTTATTAGAAAATTATAGGGGTTTGGGTTAGCAAATGGCTAATCAATAAACCCTTCCAATAATATGAAAGATAGAATTGCTATTCAATCAATGTTATTGATTTTTATTTGTTGATACTAAATTATGCTTAAAGCTTAGAACAATGAATAATTATTCTATTAACTTTTATGATTTACATGATATTAAAGGGTAGAAGTGCTACTCAATTAATATCATTAACCATAAAAATAAGTATACATGAATATTTTTATCTAAAAAAATAGATTTTGCATAAAGATTCAAGTTAGCAAATGGCTAATCAATAAGTCCCTCCAATAACGTTAAAAATAGATGTGTTACTTAATTAACGTTATTGGTTGCAACATCTTTATTCTTTAAAAAGAAATTTTGTACAGGAGAGTTTAAGCTAGCAAATGACTAGTCATTAAACCCCTAGAACCAAATAATGTTAAAGATAAAAATGTTATTCAATTAACATTATTATTTGTTATATAATAAATACTTTTTAAACAATCATTTTAAAAACAATAAATCATATTCACTATATACAAGCAATTATTAAATAATAAACTAAAATAAAAATAAAATAAAAAATAAAAAATAAAAAATAAAATAAATAAAATAAATAATAAAAAAAGAAATGATACCAAATGAGATGCTTGAACTTGTTGAATCTTTGAATATAACGATCTATTAGGCGCTTTTTTGCGACCTAACACACTACAATATTCCTCACAAAATCTCAAGAAATACAAAGGAGGGAGAAAGAGAAATTTCGAGCTCTAAGGAGTCTTGGACGAAATTTTCTGGGAGACCCTGAAAACTGTGCCGGAGTTATCTATTTATAGATGTCAGACCTGACCAGAACAACCATTCAGTTGTGAGCTAAAGTTGAATCTGGAATGGCCCGTTCCAGATAAAGATTTTAGGAACGGCCCGTTCTAAAATACGGAATTGGCCGTTCCAGATCAAGGATTTTAGGTCCTTTTAGTGCCTTGGAACGACCCGTTTCCATTTTGGAACGATCCGTTCTCAATTAGGAATTTAACTCTTTTTTAGTAACTTAGAACGACCCGTTCCAATTTTGGAACGGCCCGTTCTAAATTAGGGTTTTAGGTCTTTGTAGTAACTTGGAACGACTCGTTTCGATTTTGGAACGGCCCGTTTTGGGCTCCTAAAATCCACTTGTTTGGGCCTCAAGCTTCCTTGTTGTCATGCGGTGTTGCCCGCATGCTTGGGGAGCTGCTCCTCTTCATGGTAGACGTCCATTTTATCGCTTTTGTAGATCTGGATAAAATTGGTTATTCACAATTCTTGGAACAAGCCCCAAGGTGATGTGTGGTTCATTGGTGTTCAAGAAGAGTGAATTTGGCTGTGTTCATTTAGGAAATCCATCAAACTTAGAACTAAAAGGGAATAAATTGAGTTTGTTCAATAAAATAAAGTTGTAAAATAATTTAATTAAAGATCAATATTGAAATTCAAATACAATTTAACAAAAAAAAAAGAGAGACTAAAATTAAGATCTTAGAGACAGAGAGAAATTGCATTATAAAAAACTTGAATTAGTTCAACTACTTTGTGTGATTTAAGATATCACAGACTAGTTTATGACTT